TCTCTCTCTCTCTCTCTCTCTCTCTCTCTCTCTCTCTCTCTCTCTCTCTCTCTCTCTCTCTCTCTCTCTCACACACACACACACACACACATACAATCAGAATCAGGCTCAGCCCAGCCCTCATCGGCTTTCTGAAAGGGCTGGAAAATAGTCAAAAAATCCCGAGACAATTTTTTTGGGGGTGGGCCCTAGGCTACCAGAGTGGCCCGGTGTCACTTGCCCGGCCGGGCCAAAATGATTTAAAAAAAATAAAAAATATTTTAAATTTATATTTTATATTTTAAATTTGGTAAAGAATCTCGATGTGACCCTGAGGCAAAAGTTGTTCAGTTTATTTTTCTAGATAACACTAGGCTACCAGTGGCCCGGGGTCACTTGCCCGGCCGGGCCAAAAATTAAAAATAAAAATAAAAATAAAAAATGATTTTTAAAATTGAATTTTTATTCTAAATTTGGTGAGGAATATCGATGTGACCCTGAGGCAAACGTTGTTCAGTTTATTGTTCTGCATTACATAGTTGTTTTTCGGGTTTTTTGGAACTGTTTTTTTTTTTTGTTTGTTTGGCTGGGACCTTCCCTGGTCCTTGCACGGGCTCGCCACCCGGGACCCGGGCGGCCCGGCTGGTAGCCTAGGCATAACATAGTTTTTTTTTGGATTTTTTGGATAATGTTTTTGCTGGGACCTTCCCTTGTCCTTGCACGGGCTGGCCACCTGGGGCCCCGGCGGCGCGGCTGGTAGCCTATGGTGGGCCATGATTTTTTTTTTTTTTTTTTTTTTTTTTAATTCTGAACTGGACATCCAGATGCGGACGGTTGGGAATGGGATTCGGACGGTAACCATGGTTTTGGACCTGTTGGCCAGGAACTGAAAGTGGGGGTCCCTGTTAACCAATTGTGAACCCCGCGAGGTATTCTGATCAAAGTGATAGGCCACGCTCGAGTTTTTTTAGATTCTTTTTTTTTTTTTTAACCCAGCTGTTAGGCTACCAGCCGGGCCGCCCGGGTCACCTTGTTTTCCCGGGCGTGCAAGGACAAGGGAAGGTCCCAGCAAAAAAAAAAGAAAAATCCAAAAATTGCGAAAATAAATGATGTTATGCAGAAAAATAAACCGAACAACTTTTGCCTCAGGGTCACATTGAAATTCTTTACCGAATTTCAAATAGAAAATAAATTAAAACATTTTGTTTTTTATTTTATTTTTATTTTTTTTGGGCCGGGCAAGTGGTCACGAATTTGAGCATACTTGGCGCCCGCCACCTAGCGATAGCCCGTTGGTCCCCCCAATTGGCATTAAAAAGCAGTCTCTGCTGATGTTCATAGGGGGAGGGGTAATCGGAGAGGCACAGCGACTGGCCACTCAGATGATGCTCGGTCCCTCTGCCACCGGCTGTCCTGGTGCTCCCCGTTGGGGGTTCCCTGAAGACTATCAGGCCACCCTGGGCTGAAAAGGCCACCGTTGTCAGATTAGACACAAGATTGAATTTACCTGGGCTGGTTAGTCCGATGATAATACCTCAAGGCCATCGCCCTTTAAAAAAAAAAAAAAAAAAAAAAAGAATTTGAGGATACCTCCCTGGCAAAAGTTGCTTCTATTATCATTTTACATAACATATATTTTGTTCAGATTTTTCTGAGAGCTTTTTTTTTTTTTTTGTATGTTCGCCTTCGGAGGGTTTTGGCACTTGTTTGCGACGCGAACATTCGGGTTGACCGCGAACACGATGCTACACAGGTAGATACTTATAATTTTGAGCAATGAAAGGCTCACTGAAACAGACTGTGAGCTGAAATCTGTTCTAGATACATTATGGCAAGGCCTATGGAAAATGGTGATGCTTGCGATAGGCAACGGGATCGTCACCTTCTATAAAAAAAAATAAAAAAATGGACGAGGGCCATGCACTGTATTGAAAATGGTGGGCCACAAGTATGTGGTGTGAACTGTCCCTCACACACAGACGCCGGTACATATTGCCGACATTTTAAAACCAGGTCAGTATTAGGGTCTGTCACACCACCGCCGAAACGAAAAAATTACAGAGTGCATCTTCATGCAGAGCATGGCAAGATGCATCCCTTACTATGAATGGCAACGGGTGCATTTTATCACTTAGCCACACCACTCTGGAAATGCTAAAAATTTGACGACTGTCAGAAGAAATTCGACAATCGCCCCCACGACAATTTCCCCCTTTTCAGCCACACAGCACTGTTGAATGCACCAACTCGTGAATGTGAGCCGGAAACAGACAAATGCGCCTGAGGATGGGACAAGCATTTGCCCGTCCCAACCTCAGGCCCATTGACCAAATTCCGATGAGCACTCGATAGCTGAGCGGAGGACTGTTGAAAACGTTGGAGTTGCAGGCTGGCTGGAGATGGAAGCGCTTTCAAAAGCCTTAGGAGGTGTCGAGAAGCTTTCTCTGACAACTAGCAATATATATATTTTTTCGGTTCTTCATTTTCGAAAGGCTGTGTGGTGACGAGAAACTATCGAAAATTGCATTTTTGACAGTGGTGTGGCGAGCCCCTTAGGGCCTAGTTGCACTACTCGCCCTCTGCCAAGTTTGGCGAGTGGGTGCATGGTTGCACCGTTGCACTTACCTGCCAAACTTGAGAGCGTGTGAAAAACTGTCAGACTGTGTGGGGAGTTGTTCTTTCCATCCCCCACAGCCGTGAAGCTGAATAATACTCTCTGGAAGGCCATTTTCTGTGGAGGGTACTACTACAAGTGCCCCCTCCACAAAATGGATTTCTGGAGATATTCAGCCTCAGGGGTGTAGATCTCACCAACAACCCTTTTTAACTTTTCTGCTGAAGGTACCTTCTTCCCCCGAATACGAGGTACGGTCATTATCGCTGTATTTGGGGTATCTTTCAGTCTAAAGTTCTCTAAACACATCTATAATGACTGTACGTTTTATTCGGGGGAAGAAGAAGGTAGATCGTGGTGAGTAAGTGCAACTGTGTTGCCACGATTTCTCGTTATTGCACTCTCCACACTTGTGCCACAGATTGTGGCGGATGGCGAGTAGTCCAACTAGGACCTTACAGGGGAAGATGCATTCGTTCTTTTTTTGACAGTGGTGTGGCGAGGCCCTTTTTTTGCATTTGACAACCAAGGAAGGGGACAAAAAAAAAGAAAACAGACAAGGAGTGGGAAGGAAAGGACAACAAGAAAAGAAGAAGAATAGGGGGCGATTTTTTGTGGATTTTTTATTTGTTTGTTTGTTTGGTTTTTGAATTATTAGCATGTGCTGTGATGATGTGTTATTACCAGCATGCGCTGTTTTTCAACCTGACGACAAGGAGAGGGAGGGGAGGAAGGGAAGGAAAAAGGAGAGAAGGGGAGGAAGGACAAGGGGAAGCAGTTAGGTGGGAGTGGGATGGCTAGTGGTGACAAGGGGCCTCGCTCCACTACTCTTGACATGCACAAAAGAGTGGTGATAAGGGGCCTCGCTCCACTACTCTTGACATGCACAAAAGACAAAAAATGTAGTGGTGTATCTTTCCAAGTTCTAGCGAAAGATTCGTTCTCATTTTGCACATTTTGAGAGGAGTGGAGCGAGGCCCAAGAAGTGAAGAACTGGGGGCAGGAGGAGCAGGAGTGGGATGCGGAGTAACTAGAAGTCAAAGGCTGAAAAATCATAAACCTATGGAACTGTGCCCCATTCTGAGATAGCTGGCAAACTGTGGGCCCAGAACTTAGGACCCCGGTGCTGTGAGGTCGGCACTGGTAGCAGCATCCAGCAATCTGCTACGATGGAAAGGCTGGGCATTATGTCCCATCGGACCCATTCTGTGACACCCTGGGAGAGTTTGTGGGCCCACGGCCTTGGCCTAAGACTGCTATGATGGCAAGGTTGGTGCTACTGATCTAGTGTCCCATTTATGGAAAACTTGGGAAACTCGCTGGGCCCATGGCCTAAGACTGCAACAAGTCCCAGGCCAGAGCTGTCCCAGTCCATTACCGTTGCAATCCACGTAAGCAAAACACGTGTCTGGTGCTATGTCCCATTCTGAGGCTCCCCAAGACACCTTGCGGGTCCATGGCGCGGAACTTTAACCTGGCCAAGGCCCTTTTTTTTTTTTTTTTTTTTTTTTTCCCCGAGGACAAACGCTCCCATCTATATTCTATTTGTGGGGAACAGTACGTACTGGGAACCTGGCCCCAGCGTCCCATATGAGCAAAATACAGAATAGTTTAAGATACCACGGCCATTATGCAGCTTTGGCTGAGAATGACAGAAAATTCATGGGGAAACTACGAAATTAATCGCAAACCATCAGGAAAAATACTGAATACCAAGATTCCCCCGTCCTTGTTGTTGCGCAACAGATCCCAGCAAAACCTACCAAAGCTGTCATGTTCTGAAAACCGGGCCTCCACCAGGCCTTCCAGCCCCAAGATGCAAGGCTACAGGGCAGCACGACCCACCCCAGCCTTGCCCTGGCAACAGCCCCCAGTTGGCCACTGGAATGCCCTCCCCCCCTCCCCCCCAGAAGCAATTGCCCAGATCTCTCTACCAGGCCTCACGCTCCCGCAAACAATGGGTTACAGCGCAACACCCCAGCACTGGCCAGTGTCACTCTGGCATCGACCAAGGCCATAATACCTTTTTCTTTCCTTAAATTTGTGCGTCCAACTTTATTGGCCAGGTACTGTTATGCACCTACTGGCTTCTGGTGCTCAGTGGAGTCTTGGTGAGTCCTGCAGTTGAGGGTATAGCCTTGTTTTTGGGAAGGGCAAGATCCAGGGAGAGCAATCAGAAATGCTGATGGTCACCGCCCCTCTTGTGCTGCCAACAGACACCATCAAATTTAATTGATGCAATTTACATGGACAATCTCTCTCTCTCCCCCCCCCCCCCCCCCCCCCCCCCCCCCCCCCCCCCCCCNTTTTTATTGCAGATTCGTGGTCCTCTAGGGTAGCGCAGCACAACCCCGCCTTCAAAAAAAAAATAAAAAAATTCCTTGCTGTGTTTTTGTGTCGCCCGGTTTCGCCAGGCGGACCCCCCCGGGCCCAACCGGCCGGGGCCCGCCCGGCCGGGCATGCCTGGCTGGGCGGCGGCCCAGCCTAGATGTTATGCAAAAAAATTAACTGAACAACTTTTGCCTCAGGGTCACATCAAAATTCTTTACCAAATATAAAATATATATATTGTGACGATATATATATATATATCGTCACATATATATATATATATATATATTTTGTCTTTTTGGCCCGGTCGGGCAAGTGACCCCGGGCCACTCTGGTAGCCTAGATATAATAAATCCTATAAATCCTATAAATCTCCATACTGTGGAACATAAACAATCCCTTTGGAAGTTTGTGGAGTCTAATTTTTTTTGGGGGGTGATGTTCTCCGTGCTTGGCGTGTGGAGCAGAAACAGCATGCGAACCCAGCAGGAAAGGAGAATAAAAATGCGGCCTGTGTTGACAAGATCCAGCAGGATACCGTGGGGGACAGCAACCAGGTGGAGGTGGTGTCATCGAGAAAGGCGCGAGAGACGAAATTGGCGGAGCTGAGCGGGACAAACATTTTCTCAGAGCCGACTGCTGCCGCAACTGCCAGTCCCGATTCACGGAACGGGTTTGTTGCCCCTCAGCCAATCAGTGATGCGAAGCGGAGAGAGATGATCGGAAATGACATCTTCGCCAACCATAAACCTGTTTGTCGCGACTGTGTCGGAGGCGTTCGAAAGCCTCCTGGAGGTGAAAGCAGCCTTTCACTGTTCTGATCCCATTTTTACCGCAGTTAAAAGGTTCGGTAAAAGCCATTTTTTGATTTTTCGCCGCTTGCTGTCTTTAGGCGTTCGGTGGTTAAGGAAAGTAATTCAAGAAATAGTCAGAGGAGTCAGAAGACTCAGAAAAGAGGAGTGTAAAGAGACGGGGAATGGATGGAAAAGCTAATGCGTATACGTCGTATACTATCATCGAATGCATCTTACGGACTCTTATGGACTCATAGGGACTCATACGGACTCTAAAAACATGTGTATAGTATGCTTTCATTTTGTTCATGGGCGCCCTTTGCGAGGAGAGGCAGACGGTAACACCCAACCTGCAGCTGCAGTCAAGCCGTACCAAGGGCGACCATTGGTTAAAGAAGAGAAGGTAAGGAGGGGATTCTACGGAGTGTTAGGGAGTTGGCCTCACGGTTCCGGACAAGAGAAGAAAAGAAACGAGGTACACAGAACTGCGTTGGAATTGCCGATCCTTAGTACGAGTGGAAATTTGGGGCATCCTCAAACTAGGACTCGTTCGGCCGAATCTGGTTGTGAAGGCAGTCAGGTACGTTCAGGGCAGTCCCAGTCTGCCCATGCCCTTTAGACTATATGTTCTATTTATACGTAGGTGCTCGTCAGTTAGTTAATCGCCGGGGTATGACAAGCATCATCTTTTGGCCACATTTTCATCCAACCATCAGTACTGGTACCAGGCAGGTTCATTCTGCCCCCATCAGGTCCAGGAGCAGAGGTCAGCATTTTTTAACCCCCTCCCCCCCCCCCCCCCCCCCCCCCCCCCACAAGGGCACGACCACTATGGTGAGCACTCTCTGTCTCTCTCTCTCTCACACACACACAGACACAGACACGCACACACTCGCACACACACACCATCACGAAGTCGAAGAACGTGATCGTGAGGAGGCAGTGTCGAGCACGTGAGGAGGCAGTGTCAAACTCTCTCTCTCTCCCCTTTCCATCAAGAGCACGGAAGGAGACCAGCAGGAGTACAGGAGAAATAGGAAACATAGGCATGGGAAACAACATCCACGGAGAGGAAAAGAAGGACAAAGAAGCGGGGAGCAGAAGATGAAGAGGAAGAGGTGGAGAGCGTAAAGAGGAGAGCTGAAAATCGGATTGTGCGCTCTCCATCATTCCCTGGAAAGGAGGAGAGAGCAACACACAACCTACTTCCTGTTTTCCCTGCGCAGCATGTACGCCATATACGGCTGTGAATCCTGTGATTGGTGGTAGTGGCCAGTTGGTCATTTTGCTTTTTCCCAACTTGATCTGGTTGTCTGGAGGAGGGGGAAAAAAAACAATTTTCTTTTACATGGCAATTTTGAATTTTGAATTTTCCTTATTCCATCTTTTACTGCGCTTTTTTTTTAAGAAAAGAAAAGAAAAAGACCAGTATCAATAGCTATAGCAGTCTTACCTGTTTGTCTTTCTCCAATAATAAGTTATCGTTGTTTCTCCAATAATAAGTTATGGTTGACCACAACCTATTGGAACACGGCTATCCACCGCTTTCAATCCTGTTTGCAACTTTGCATTCGTTCATGCACAGATTTACCGTCATTTACGTGAATTAATTCCCGGAGCTTTGACTTCTACACGTCTTCGCTCTACAGCCCCTTGATTTATTTGTGCCATCCATCCATTTGCAGGGGCCATGCAAATCTACTCTGTGTCGTTGCATTTTTCCTGCCCTGAGGTGTACTCGCACACATGGCCGTAATTGCGGCCATAAAGCTAATTTGAGTGTGCCCTAACCTCCTTATCCCCAACCATATTGACGGTGTCATCTGTTTCGAACAGGCTTGGGTCTGCAGTCAAGCAAAGGGAGATGCTTGGGAGCGGTATCTTCGGCGAGGGCCCGCTCAACGTATCCGCAAACGCTTTTGCAAACGGTATGGACCAGAATCTGGGGAATTATATAACCGATCGGCCAAGCGTTCGACTACACCAGGTAATGCCACTCGAAAAATTTCAAATGCATCTGCCGAGTCCAAACCTTTCTCCCCCAACCTTGTAATTGCCGGTACCTTTCCCATATATTGCCCGCGGGACCGAATTCCGAATTCGCCCTGCACGGCGTGAGAATTTGAAGGGACGTGGACGTACGTGGTCGGCCCCGCCAGCCCAATTCACGGAGGTAACGAATTTCTGTGTTAACCGCCGTGGCAGCGGGGAAAGATAAGCTACTGGTGGTTTGAGCAGATTGGGCTGCAAGGCGCATGTGAAGTAGGAAAATGTCTTGGAAGTAGCCAACATTGGATTAAAAAAAACAGAGTAGGCTGGCCTCGCTCGCGTCCATAACCTGTTATTCTCCCTCGCCTCCTCTACCAAATCATGCCTCTTCAGTTTCATGATGAGCTCAAGGGGTCGAACAATCGGTGCAAGTCACGAGTTCAGCTGTGCACGCTATGCATCCAAGTGCTCTCCTTCGTGATGAACAACGCCCACTGTCCTGGCAGCAAAAAGCCGTTCACAGCAGACTGCCCTGCTGGAGCTGATCTTGTTGATGTGCCAGCAGACGTATAATTATTATATTATTAATTCCAAGTACAAAAAACAGAAGTAGTCGAGAGTACGAGATCCAAAGTCTCTCGTCTTTCTTGCAAGACTGACTTAAAAACAGTCAGGCCAGACGGCTTTTCGGCCAAGATGCAGCCATTCCTATGATCCGAGGAATTATTCACTTGAGTACCACGCAGGTCGCAGATCTGGGTGGCAGGGCGGCTCTCTCCAACTCTGCCACACCATCTCAAGCTGTCCCAGGCCAAGGGCGTGAGCTATGCGTACGTAGTACGTGGTATGGAGATGGTATTCACAAGGAGATGCAGGGGGAGGGAGGGTATCTCAATTCCGCTGCAGGCCTGGCAAAGGGGGCTGCAAGGGTGGGGCTGCCGCTGAACGTAATCATTTGCACAGTTGCACTACTAGCTGAACGTAAAGTAGAAATTAATGATTACTTCTATGCAGCGTAGAAAAGGTCCGAATGTGGTATATGATTGTTTGGGTTATTAGCAACTTATTACGACCTTTAGCAGATGGTTTGAAATTAATGATAAAAGAGCCTATTCTACCAAGTAGTGCTAATTTATTCATCTTTATAATTGCTCGCGGTCGTGGGTAGAGGATGTGTTCCCTTCGGGTAATCCATCTGGTACATCTGATAACAGGATTGGTTTCCCTCCCTGTCCCATGCCCTTGCCAGAAGACAAGCAGACCTATATCACTCTGGAATCTTCCCTGATTTGTACGCAGAACAGCAATTTCGTCAACACGGACATAGTTTATTTGTTGAACGAAATTGAAATCTCATTTTTCGGCTAAAATTTCATGAAACTGAGGGTACGACGTTCTGAAAACGCCCTACCCCGGCAATGTGGCAATGTATCTGGATTCTGGACTTAGACAAAAGTCCACATACATCCAGGCTGGAAAACACCGGACGCCTTGGATGTCTGTGGACTTCGCCCAAGTCCATATACATCAAGGGGGTAGTGCGTTTTTTTCACAACGTCGTACCCTCAAGTTTCTTTCAGGAAATTTTGGCCAAACTGAGATCTCAGTTTCATTCAAATTTCAGAAAATACCATGGCTACGCCGGACCCGGACCCGGACCCGGACCCGGACCCGGACATTTCCGGACATGGAACCGGACGTCCGGAATTCCGGACATTTCCGGACCTCCGGACATGGGGGGGATCGGACGGTCCAGAAGTCTGGACAGGTCCGGAAATGTCTGGACCATAAAAAAAAAAGTAAAAAAAATCTGAAAAAAAAAGTATGTTATGCAGAATAATAATGCAAACCACTTTTGCCTCAGAGTCATGTCAGAATTCCTAACCAAACTTGAGTTAAAAGTCAAAAACTATAAGAAGCTTAAAAAAAGACTTTAAAAACTAATAAAAGGTAATGAATTATTAATAATTAAAAAATTGGGGTTGTCTAATAAATTACTATAGAGAGAGAGCATGTCCGGACCCCCCCAAAAAGCATAAACGGGCCTGAAAAACCCCCCAAACAATTTTGGGGGCTTGGCTCCTCAATGGGGAAGGGTCCTGGACCCTTTTTTTTTTTTTTTTT